AAAAGAAGCTTATGGTATTATAAGAGAAAAAGAAAGAGGTAATAATTGCTTGTTTTTCTTTTTAATACCTAAAAAAAATTTTAAAAAAAATTTAATTGATTTTGTGTTTTGATTAAAAAAAAAAAAAAAAACAGATCTTACGTTGGCAGCAGAAATTGGTAAAAGCCTTTTGGAGAATAATATTACATTAAAATCAAAATACGAAGGATTAGTTGTACAATTACAAAGTTTACAAAGACAAAGACAAAAGGATACCATTTTTACTTTACAAGCTAATGCAACCGAAAAACCATTGGCTGTTCCAATAGCTCCTCCAAGCAGTTCACTGGATCCTTCTGGTTACGAAGATGATGATTATGATGTAAGTGACAACGAGTCAAATAGTGGTTGGAGCAGTTCTTATGGTGTATCTTCACCGATATCTCCAATTAAAAGATCTCACAGTAAACGTGATCATCAACAGAATCAACAACCTAAGTTAACTTTCAAGGAACTTGAGATTATTAAAGAATTGGAGTTAAAGAATCAGGATCTTCAAACAAGACTTGATGAAGTGATAAAAGAATATAATGAAACTGATAAAATCGACAAAGCAAAAATTCGTAAATTGGAATCTGATTCACAACATTATCAAGAAGTCTATTCACAAGCAACTCTAAGAATCGAAGATCTTGAAAAAGAAACTGAACGATTGATTCAAAAACAAAAATCAGATTTTTGGCAATTAAAATATAATAAAAAATCATCAGAAAACGAACAATTTATTGAAGGTTTAGTAAACAAAGTGGCCGAATTAGAGGAACAAAATCTTCATATTGAAAGGCAAAAGGCTGATACTGAAAAAAAATTGGCTAAAATCACAAATGAGTTAGATATTTTACAAGATCAATGTAATCAATTAATTGAGGAATCTAAAGATTATGAAATGCTGCAATTACAATCTAAACAACAAACAGAACTTATCGATGAATTGGAGGAAACTTTAGAATATGAACGTTTAAAAGTTGTTAGTTTAAGGTCAGGAAGTATGTATTCAAGACCGGGGTCAAGATCGGCTTCAAGATCAAATTCTTTTTCTCTAAGAAGGTTAAGTAATCCTGATGCAATGAGATCTTTATTCGGTGCTGCTCCTCAAACACCAACAACAAGTCTCACCCATCCAAGTGGTGGTGCATTAGATGGAAAAATTAAAAGAACTTTATTATCCGAATTGGAAAATGAATGGTTTCGTGAACTAACATTATTTCAACGTGATCAGAAAAGAACTGAAAACGGTAACGAGTCGCCGCTTTTTTCACCGGCATTATCAGAAAAAGATTTATCTGAATTTTTCTTACCTGGGTCACGTGGCGGTGCTTTTGATGATGATGATGATGAAAGAATGTCAAAATTAGATCATTTATCAGATGATGAATTCTACTTTATAGAAGAGTTTGAACCTGACGAGATAATAAGAAGAGAATGGTTTTGGATAAGATGGGCAAGAAATGTTTATTTACTTTGTAGATTGATTTGGAGATGGGTTAAATTCATGTTTATTTTATTCGCTGCAAACATAATGGCAATATATCGTGGTCCTGATGATATTTTACCTTGATTGACATTTAATTAAATTTTTGTGTATATCAAAAATTCAAAGACTTTATATATAAAGGATATATATAATTTCCACAATAATTAAAAAAATCTTAACGCATCTTTTTTATATTTTGAAAAGAAAAAACATTTATTATAGAATTATCTATTTATTTCAATGTATTATTTATCATACTCTCACACACATTTTTTATCTTTTCAAATTTCATTATCATTTATTCTTGTCTCATAGTAAGCACACTTTTGAAAAAGAACAATTTAAAAATATCAAAAAAAAATTTATTTGAATTATTATTATTATATTTATATAAATATAAATATATATATATATATATTCATTACACCTAATACACATATATATTTTTGTTTATATTTGAAAAAATTTTATAAACTAACCGCGCATTCGCGGAAAACAGCTCAGTCTTTTGAGATAAATAAACATCGGATTTATTTTAACTTGTTCTACTATTAATGAATATTTATCATCAAATTCCACCAATAAGTAAATGCCCGTCATCCACAGTGGACTACAGATAGATAGTTGCTGCAGTTGCCGCCGCGTAATAAACGAGAAATAGTTTATAATTTATTTTAATATCTATAATTAATTATCGTCATTATTATACTAATCGATACTTTTTTTTATTACAATTATTGTTTTATTATTACGATAATAAAGGTGATTATAATTTGCGATCCTTATTTACCAAAATAAGTTTATAAAATAAAGATAAAAATATATATTTTTTTTATTAAATTG